ATGGTTCCTCTTAGGAACAAGGCTGTCCTTGGGGATATAAATGAGTGGAACCATATAATCTACTTGGAAGGTGGATTTGGTTTACCCTGCCAAAAATTTAAAGGTACACATCCTTTGGGTCTAGCAGTCCATCTATCACAAAGATAGACTTGTCCGCGTGCCCAAAAATCTCTGTCCAAGAAAATCCATCACAGGATTGTCTGTAATAAGGAAAAGAAGGACATAATGTAAATGTCCATTAATAATGCAACCAACAAAAATGAGACAGACCCATATCTACACACACAGAAAGGTCTCTAAGATATAATTTTGAAAGATAAAATAGCAAATCCATATGGTATTGCCTTATTAGAATTGTTCTCTATATTTAAATTGTTATGTGTATATATGTATAAATAATGTATATATATGTGTGCACACATATGTATTTGTGTGTCTGTGTGTGTAGGAAAAGGACTGGAAAGCTATTCACCAAACTATTCAGAGTGTTTCCTTCATAACTAAGAGTGGTGGAGAGAGCTTTCCCATTTCCCTCTAAAGACTTCTATACGGTCATTCTGTACTGAGAATGTATTCGTATATTACTTATCAAATAGAAATAAACCACTAAATAAACTAAAAATCATTTCCTTTACACTTACACCGTTTTACCACTTACTCTCAATCTGTTTTTCTTAACTTTTTCCCCCCAGCATATCATTAACGTATGTCCAGAGTTGAAAGTACTACAACAAAAATGAGAAGTTATACAAACAAACCCACCAAGTCACTAACAATCTCATCCCTCAGATGAACACTAGTATCACTTTGGTAAAAGAGCAAAGGGTAACCAAATGAACATACTGTCTATGCGGTTTTGTGCCCTGAGTTTTTCACTTCGCATTATTTTGAGAGCTTTCCCCCATGGCATTATTTATTCTTCAGAAACATGACATTCCATAAATGTACGATCTTCCATCACATGGATGTACCTACTAGACATTTAGGCTGTTTTCAACTTTCTCTCTGTTAGATATAAGGCAACAGTAATTATTCACTGAACATGCTCTTCAGTATTTCTGATTATTTCCTTCTGGAGATTATGGAATATCTACATATGGATTTGCTGAAGGAAAGGTTGTAAGCCCTTAACACCTCTGAATATATTGCCAAGGTTACACCAATTCATACTCTCCCCAGCAGGATGTAAAAGTTCTAATTTCATCCTATTTTTTGCTATCACTATTTTACTATTATTTTTAACCTTACAAATTTGATAATGGGGGAAGCTGTCTAATTGTTTTTTCAATTTGCATTTTTTTCAAAATTGCATACATTTGGTTATCAGTTAGAAATATTTTTGTATGTGGTTCTGACTTTTTTTTTTCCTTTAGATTTTCCACTGGGATATTTATCATTTTCTCATTCCTCTATGATATGGGTGCATATGTTTGCGTGTGTACCGAGTGCTGACTTACATACACACATACCACGTGCACTTGTTGCCTTACACGGATACAAACACAAACACATATACTGAAGATATTACTCCTATAACTCTTTCTTGTATATGTTATCAATATTTGTCTGAGATCTGCCTTTTTTTATTTATATGGTTTATGCAAAAATAACATTTTAATTTTTAATAACATTTAATTTTAATAACATTTTAATATAAATCTTTCCTTTGATTTTATGTGTTTGCTTTCCTAACTTCTCATATTTGTGTTTTGAGAATTTACTTTTCAATGTATCTCAGGTTGTTGGGACGCTTAGAAGGAGACGTGATAAGCACAGCAAAATTCTATTTCTGGGGAGAGTTCACTAAATATATTTTCTTTCAAATAAAACTCAAGAATATTCATAAAATAAATGCAGAGAATATGAGAAGCTGTCACCACACTTCCTAGATGAAATAAATCAGTGTTCAGTTTCCTGCTGCTGGAAAAAGACAAGTTCAAGTGATTAGCTGGTATCTGACTAATCAGGTTAGTGTTCACTGGAGGTTTAAACAGAATCTGCCAGTCACAAGGTCACAGCCAGGGACAGGACTGCTCACCCTGAGGCAAAGTCATCAGGAACCCCAGTCTAGGAGATCACACACCCAACTTCCTGAACAGGAATTGCTGGTCATGTCAAACCAGGATGCATGTTGAACTCCATGGGTATAATTGCTTAAATGTGACCAGTAGAAAGAGTCCACCACTTCATCTGCTTCTTCCAAATACATCAAATCTCAGCTTTTATAAGACCAGTTAGATAAAGCCCCTTTTAAAAAAAAAAGTTTTCCTGCCTTTAATTTTTCTCAACTTTTTATTGTGGAAAAATCCAAATACATAAAAAAGCAGAGAGAATAGTAGAATGAGCCTCCTCCTACTCAATATTCTTATTATCCAAATTTAGCAATTAACAGCTCATGGCCCATCTTGCTTTATCTACTCCTCCCTTCCTCCCAACTACCCCCACCCCCAGATTATATGGAAGCAAATCCCAAATATCCTTCATTTCCTCTGTAAATATTTCAGTATGAGATAAGGTCTTTGAAGGATATTATTTCTTATTTAAATCATTCATTGCTGCTATATTTGCCAGGAAGCATCAAGGTCCAATCCTCATACAGAGTTTCTTTTGTGTTCCTCATCCTCGTGCAGTCTGACTGCTGCTCCCCTGGCTCTGTTCTTGCTCAGGGCAAGTGTCTTCCGGTTGCCCAACTCAAGGCAAACTTTACTGTACCTACGGGCCCTCCTCCACAGTAACCCTACCACACCCTCCTACTGGAAGCTCTTTCTCTCCTTAGATCTAGGACAGGACTCTCACTCTGATGACTCACTCTCAGTCTCTCTCCCAACCACTCTCTTTCTCTGTGTCTCTGTCTCTGTCTCTGCTTCTCTCTCCATCCCTCTTTCTCTGTCTTTTTCCTTTGGAGACTTTTGTGATTAAAAAGATGCCACCGTATTCAGGAAAAAAAGATAAGCAAAAGAAAGACAGACTCTCTCACGTGTTCTCCTTGTCCTTTGATACTGAATGACATTCACTCATGACTCTGACCTAGAGGCTTCTCAGACATTTCTGCAGCTCCACACTGCCACCCATCACAACCAGCCATGAATTGCCAAGCCAACAAAGGCCAATTTCTTCTCAGCTTAGAAGCCAAAATGCTTAAGATATTCTCTCTCTCCTTTTTACTGCCTTTGCAAATAATTTTTTTCCCAATGGCTGAAATCCATTACAACTACACAAGACACTCAATGGACTACTTTTATTTAAGGTGGAAATGAAAAGCACCTTAAGCAGAGCACATACAGAAAATCAGTTTTACCTCATCAAAGACCTTGGAAACGACATGCTTGTCGAGGATGGGGACGTAGGTGGGGTTGTGGGGGACCGCTGTCACTGACAAAGCATCCATGATGGTGAGCTTCTTGGCGGCCAAGCCATGGGTCTTGAGCCAGTCTGCTGAAGACATCTCTGAAGAACTAAGAACACAAGACTCTGATGTTTTAAAACTTCTATCAAACAAAAACATAACAAAGCTGTTCTAGGAAAACTTCAAGCACTCACTCTTGGTCAGAAACTTGGCTTCCTTCTCGGGTCAATCTCTCTAATGTCTTGTCATCGGGAAACTCATTTGTCAGCAGGAGGCCCATTTCTGTGGAAAGGGAAATGGCGGCTGTATGATTTCCTCATCTGTGGGGTTCATATCACAATACAAACCACTCCACACTTATCTCTGAGTTCAGCTGTGACTGAGGGCTAATAAATGGACGATGTTTTGGAGAACACTGATCTGTCGGTGCGGGTTCTCAGGTGAGATTCATTCGCAGTTGACACTAAAGACCAGCGAGTGGCTGAGCAGGGGTACTACTCTTGTTTCCCTCATCTGCCGCACCCCGTACCCACTGAGATCTCTCCCCATGGAAGGATGAGACACACTCATCCCCTCTGTCTCCAGAAAACACATCTTTAACATGTTAAACAAGAACACCACCTACCACTGATCGTTCAGAGTTGCCCTCATTAGACTCCCCCTAAATTACACAGGAGAGCCTTGTTCATTTCAGTTTTTGACAGTTCCCCCTCACCCACCCATAATTCCTCAGCTCTGTGTGGAAGA